CCCCAAAACCCCAAAACCCCGATATGATAATTCTTACTGAAAAATCAAAATTACAAAATTAATTAGAATTTTCAAAATCGATATTACTCTGAATCATTATTAAAGTTTATTGAATTTTTCTCTGAATGTATCCACATTAAGCTTCGCCAAAAGCCCAAAAGTATCAAAATTGTTAACTTGAATTGGCAAGAACATTACAAAGTTTTAGTAATCAAAGTCCATATTATCCAACTATTTGTCAAACAAACTCTCTATATTATTATTTTTGGTTCTCCTCGCTGTATATTAGGTGAAATTGCTTAAATGATCATTGTCTATAGAATCAATATCTATATTAGTTTTAGCTAATTTCCTTTTCCTGATTTAATCCTCGTCTAAGTTTTTATTAACTTTTTCCTCCTCCTCGTCTGAGTCTGAAATTTCTTTCTCGAATTCGTCTTCTCTTTCCACATACTCCTTGTTCTCTTCGATTTCAGTAAAGTATGGTGCTAGAGGCTGTATTATCTTGGCTGGTCTGACAGACCACAGGAAAAGACTACCATTAGTGGTTACTAGAAATATAGAGAAATGTGACTTTGAATGGGCTGTCAAATAGCTGCACCCCTCCTAAGTTAATTCAAGTCTTTATATTATACTAAAGTCATCTACATTGTAAAACTTAAGTTCATTAGAGCCTGATTCACCTATACTGCTCACAAATATCTCCTGCTAGTACATGAAGCTCTCTTTGTTGTCCTAGATTTACTGTTCATTTTTCTAATTAAATGAAGACGAGTATAGAAGTTGTCTTGACTCATTAAGAAGCTGAACTGCATCAGTTTTATTGTTTTGAGACTGCTACTCTACTATTCTGGTGTTTTAGTTCAATTTCAAGAAGCAAGCATTCATCCATTTTCTGCGGTTTATCACATCCTAGAATTCGTTCTTTATACAAATGACTCTTTTATGATTAACACCTATGTTTTAGTACTTGATTTCGTAAAGTCTGAGAACTCTGTCAGAAAAGGTCATAAGAAGATTAGAGTAATCATCATTATTCACCAGTGATTATACGAATGAGTTTGCTGACTGAAACTTAACCATTGAGATTATTTTAAATTTGTGCTAGTTGATTGATTCAATTGCTTATTTTACATTATCTGTGTCGTCTTAATCCAGTATATCTCTCTCATCTTCATATTCTAAACTTTCATCTTGCTCTATTATAATTTTAGCTTGATCTTTTTAAGTCTTTTCAGTTTCACCTGGTTTTAGATGGCTTACTCTAAAAAAGTCAGTAAATATGGATGGCTGTAAATCTACCATCTCATTTGGGTCTCTCTGTTCTAAAAGCATGATAACTTTCTGATCATTCTTGACCATAAGGTAATAAATTCTATCTTAACTAATCAATGTCTAGAAAATATTTGATGAAAATTTAGGTCCTTTACGCTTATTTTGCTATTACTGCTGAAGTAAGGCCTCTTGCTTGCCCTATGAATCTAGAATTTCCTCTAAATTGTCACTAGCAATTACTATCTCTTGAGAAGCTTCTTACTTAACTCTGACGACTAGGGCTTTTTCACCGCTTAGGAGGAGATAATTAGGATTAAGTGAGTGAAACTTAGCTTGATTAATTTGGCATCCAAATTCCTAAGAATGCATATGGAAAAGTTTCTAGCTTTAAAGCACGTCCCAAACAGCAACTTAATTTTCGATTCTAAAGCAAGCTACTAAATATCTTCCATCAAGAGACCAGTCTAGAGAGGATATCTGTGCTTTACATTTAGGCTTATCCTTCGGTTCAAACTATATGACCTTTTTGAATTCTCTCTTTACTATACTTTCACTTTCCTTTTCATCCTATGGCTTTTAATACAGAATAAAATCATCTTCAAGGTATGCATAGCTAAGTCTTCTGAAGTTTGAAAACTGATCAACATCTTAGTTAGCCTCCAAATCATAGTCTTCGTAGATGCTGAAACATCTGATCATCTCCTTAGTCATAAAGTCCATTATCAAGATACTAGCATATTTACAGCCAATAGCTACAAGAGTGCCTTGTGGGTTGAATTCAACAATCTATGCATTAATCTTCTGCATGATCATTGTTGAGTCATTAGGGAATACAATTTCATCGAGTCTATAGATATTAGCTTCTATGTTCATTTTTGCGCTTAAATTTAATTATTAAGAGATTAGAGTTATTATCATTAATCAAATTTATGAAATTAATAAGTTAAAATATCAATCCTATCATAAGCAATAATTACATTAAATTCTCCAAAGTCACAATAAATTTCCAAACAGTCCCTTAATATCTTTATTCAACTGTATTTAGGATTACTTAATGAATATGTTTCTTTGGTGAGCCAGACTCTTGTTCTGAATCTTTGGACTATTCTTTTAAGATAAATTTTGAGAATAATCAAAGCTTTTAAAATTATCTCTGCTCCTTGAAATATTTTTGAGTGACTTGTTATAATCAGCAAGATCTAATGTCTAAGGGAATAGCTCATTTTAGTTTTAGATACTTTTTTGTTCTATAGTTATATTTAGACTTTACACGCTATTTTCCTTCAAAGAATGGACCTGGAGATCTCTATGACTATTTTACTAAAACTTAACTAATTTTTCCTAAGTTTATTAAATCAGTTCCTAGGAGAAAAGCTTTTTCCTTTATAACTGCTTTCTCCTTTCGAATACTTGGTGAGTTTAATTAATGAACTTGATATCTTGGCTTTTGACAGGAATCTCATCATGACACATCTGATTACCTCCTCTTGCTGACCTAGGTACGCTTCCATCCATAGTTTGATATTAATCTAAGATCAATTTTACCTCGTTAGCAACTCTGTTACTTCTAAGCTTTAAATTGCGATTTGCATTGGGATGAAACTTATTTGAACTTCTTTCTGGAAATTGATTTGAGTACTTCCAGTGCCCTCCTCCTAAGTTTCCTTGATAATTGCCTCCATATTTATTAAATGCCTCATCTTCAGTGTCATTTGTTTCTGAGGCTGTTGAGATCAGAGGACCTCCTCCGACAAGTTAAACCTTTTAATTCTTTTTCTATATCTATTCATTAATGTGCAATTATTCCTCTAATAGCTTCTCCAAGGCTTAAATTGTATGCTTAGCTTCTTTCTTAACTGTTAGAATAATTTCTAAATCTCTCATCTAAATGTTAGTGTTAATTCCCACATCACTCTTCAAGAATTCATACTACTTCTTCTATTTAACTTGATCTCTTTTTTATGATTACTGTTCATTAGATTTAAGACTGTTGTACTTATTATTTCCTTATTCATTTCTATATATGCTGTTAAGCTTCTAAATCTCATGAATTAATCTGTTATTTTTTGGCTGATGCAGACCTTCGTTTTAGCCAATTTCACTTTCTCTTTGGGTGGTTATTATAGACTACTTCATTTGCTACAACCTTAACTTAGGGCTTGCAGATTGTGATTACTCTGTGTTAGAGAGAATTGATTTATTGTTATCTCTCAGAGTATGATTTGATCTGGAGGACTTACTTCCTTCTTGTGAATTCTATTATCGCTTTATGTTATGCAAGATCACTTGATTACTATTACTATGGAGCTACTCTATAGATGGACTTTCTGATACAGTTTTTAATTTTATTATAGCCTCCTACTCGCTCAATTTTTTCTAAAGCTATAGATCTAGATGGTGGCTAATAGAGCTATTATTGGCAATTTAGCTCTCACGTTGAGAATTAGGGACCTGTGATGCCTTTCTCATCGGACTTGCCTTCTGATTGAATATCTAAATCATACTACTTGAATTCTTCTTAGTTAGCTCCTCACCAGATTTAAGATTAATTCCTGTTGATTTTCTAGCTTATTATATTTGTCTGTTTGGCTAGCTTTGCGCTTTAGGATCGTCCAATATTTTTGTAGTTTACCTCTTAGGAGGAGACTAAGATGACGGTGTGCCAAGAGGCTATTTACCTTTATCTGATTTGTTCGTCGATTGCCTCTCAACTCGCTGCAAAAAATGTTTTAAGAAGTTATGAGTATCATGCTGCTTCTCAAGGTTAGATGACACCAGCTATACAGCAGAGGGATATGATTGTTATAGTGATGTTAAATTGTGCTCTAGTTCTGACTTAATGAAAGAATAATGAAGGTCATTTGTTGTCTAAATTTCTATTGATTAAGAACCTTAAAATAGCTTCAGCCTCTCCTTTTAAAAGTAAACCTAACTCAGCAAAATGCATCTTCCCAGAATCCCTATTAAATTTAATTGCCTAAATATTATGCTTACTTTAAATCTATTCTTTCTCATTCTAAAATAGTAACATCTTAAGGGGAAAGATCTAAGGATTAAACATATGTTCATCAATATGAATTACATCAGTAGCTTTGACTGCCATTGATTCATCATACTGGATTGATTTTATAAATCCTTATATTGCTGCTAGTAGCTAATCAAGATTTCTCAATGAATTCAAATCTATTCCTATCAATTCAAACTTAATATCCTTATGATTTATTAAGAAGACAGCAATCTCTTGAATTTCTGCAGAATAGTCTTTCAACTAGTCCTTCTTCGGTATTTTGTCTATCTCACTCATGAAAAATTTAGCTCTCTTATTTCTAAGTTGTGATGGACTTTTAGGTGATTAAATCTATTTACCCATCCCTTTTCCTAAAATCTTTTTGCCTAACTTACTATTTCCAAGGTTTTGTGCTGACCCTTATTTACCTGTACTTAATTTATCATTTTACTTCTCTGAATTAAGACTCATCTTCTTTGTTATAAGTTCTTCATAGCAATGCAGAATTTCCTTTAAACCTTTTTTAAAATTGTCATTGACTGGTATCTAAACAGAATTGTGACTAGCACTCTTAATATCTTAAATGAAGTTGACAACTTTCTAATTTCTAACCTCGGTATTTTTCTAATAATTTAAAATAGTCTCAAGCTTCGAGGATAGACTAATAGTTTTAATATTGTCTACTATGTTTTCAAGGCTTTTTTCTGAAACACAAAAATCGAATTCCTTGATTTATCTTTGCTATTTCATATCAAGTATTATACCACTATCAGCTAATTTGAGAGTATCTAGAACCATAATGAAGTTGTCAATTATGAATAATAGATTTGAGTTTAAGTACTGTATCTTATCAAAGTAGTCGTCTTTGATTACTTCCAAGTTTATTCTTAAGTTGTATTCTTTCAGCTATTCTTTCTTTGCGTTATCTAAGTTTTATTTCATTGCTTTCATAACCTTAAGATTTTCATTGAATTTTTCCTATGCCTCATGCATCGATCTTAGTTTTAATCCTTCTTACTAATCTATATACAACTGAATCTCATCCTCTACAACCATACTATTGAAGATCCTAGATTCATAATCATTTATAGTCATATTAGCTATCTCTAATTATTTTCTCATGCTGATTTAGGTTTCAATTAAGGCAGACTAAGATAAGATAATTTAATAGTCAATTAATTACTTCCTAGGCTTCTGAACGGAACATGAATTTTTGCTTAAGTTACTCACACTTATTTCTATAAAATCTGTGTATCATTGACTTTTCCAAATCAAATCCTTTGATATCCTCTTGCAATTCCTTTTCATACTACTCAGCTGTAAGCCATAGCTCGCCCTATGTAAGTTAATTAACATTAAAATATCATACAGAATAAAATTCAAGCTCATCTCTGGACCAGCACTAATCTTTAACTTCTCTCTCCCATTATTCAAGCATGTTATGTAGCTTATCTCCTGGTCTTCTAGTCTTCAATACTTCCCTCTCACTATCTGCCAGAAAAGTATCAAGATTGTTCCCCAATTCAAGATTAGTTTCCTCGATTTTGTTATTTAGTGCCTTGATCTGATTTATCTTAGAGTATGTCTCTTCTAGATTCTTTTTTAAAAAGTCCTACTTCTGAAATTCCCCATTAAGATTTTTTAATGCATCCATTTTAGATGTGAAAGAGCCGTATTCCTTAACCACAAGATCATACTATTTGTAAGATTTCTCATCCTCCATGATTTTTTTCTTGAGATTATCAAGAAATTCTTTTTCTTTCCTCTTTATGATTTTTGGGATATTGTCAATGTAGTAGGTTTTTACCTGAAATGGCTTTTTATCTAATTAGTCTAACTAGTCTTGATTAGGAAGACTTAAGTAATTTTGTAGTTGTTATTTGTTCATATTCATCTCTAACTTTAGCGCTTCTTGCAACTTCAAATGGAAATCCAAAAATATTCCCTAAATTTACTTTTGACCCAGAAACATATTAGCCCAGAGCAATTTATTATGGTCCAAGTATTGAGGAACAAAGAATTTTGAATCAAGTTAGGTGCATATATAATTCTTTGAAAGTTTATAAAGTTCATCTTAAAGTTGATCAATGGTCTCTTAATTCTTAGCTTGGACCTTCCCAAAAAAATCAGAGTGATTAAATGGCTTTCTACTGTCGTAAAATTAATACTTTTTCTCATGAGACCTTTTTAATGACATTTATCAATATAATTTTATTTTGATTATCTTCTCCTTGATATTTTAAGCTTTAGGGGTTTTGGGGTTTTGGGG